CTGTAGCCAAAAGGGCCAAATTCTGCAACATATATTACTACAAAGACAGAAGACTCAAAGGTGGGTAGTGACCCGCCTTCTCTGTCACAGTATTCATCATGCTCCATTTCCAGGTGTCTGTGTACCCTACTGGGACCCTAGGATCCTTGAGGACAGATGTGGTCACTGAGCCCATCACACCCACACACCAACATGGAGAATGGCACTTGGCAAGAGGGTTGTGTGAAGACAAATTTTCAGGTGATCAATTCCATTTGGGGCTAGCTTTGTGTGGGCAAAGCTGTGTTCCTACTGGAAGTCCCAGGGGAGAATCTAGGTCCTTGCCCTAACAACACCTGGAGGCAGGCTGTATACCTTGGCTCATGTTCACCTAGGAGCCTATACATTTGCTTTCTCCTTAGTGTTAAGGCTGTCCCTCAGCTCAGTGGGGCACCAATGTCCTCAGCCATATTTGCTTCCTTTCCTTTCCTCATGTCACCCCAACCAGGAGTGAGGGAACCCCCACTATCACCCCTGCATGGGTATTTGTCTTGGTGCCTGTGGGGGTGTAAAATGTCTCCCTAAAGTGCATCTCTTTGGCATAAGTTGTGTTCCAGGCTGATGATTTTTTTTTTTTTAAGTACTACTGTATGATACATAGTTTTTTTTTTTTAAAGATTTATTTATTTATTTATACAAGCACAGGGTGCAGTCAGAAGCGCGGGAGGGTGAGAGAATTCACCAGAGCCAGAGCAGGGAGCAGAACAGGCAGACTGACAAAAATACACTGCTGAGGGGAGCAGCGGGCGGCAGGAGAGGTCTGCGTGCCATGTGGGACCCTCACCCGGCGGCCGGGGAATGAACCAGCGCCGTGGAGGCCGTGGGCAGCTTCACAACCCAGCGCTCAACCACTGTGCCACCGGGAGGCCCCCCAGGCTGATCATTTTTAAGAAGCATTTGATGCAGGATTTTTTTTTTTTTTTAACCTCTTAACTCCCTGAAAGGACTTAGGTCTGTAAGCAAGAAGAGAACTCTCCCCATAGGTAGCTGGCATTAAGAGCTGAGGGTAATAACTGGGGGGGTGGGTGGGCTGGGGGGGGGGTTAGCAACTCTGCATGGTCAGTACTGACCAAACCTGCATTGTTCCCATCCTGTGAACTTTCTCCCTCCCCTCTGAGGCCCCAGACCCCTGGCCCCAAGCTCAGACAACCACTCAAGTCTCAGTTGCCTATCTTCCAGCCTCCTATCCTGGAAGTCCTTGCATGTTTGAATTAGATGCCTTTCTCCTGTTCATCTGTCCTTAACGGTGTCTCAGCCAAGAAAAATCTAGGAGAATAGTGGGAAAATTGATGTCTTTCCTGCTCCTATTTTTTGCCAGTGAGCCATTGCCTTAGTTGACTGGAAAACTTCCGCTTGCCTAGGCGAGATCAGATGTCACGAGCAGAGGAAGGGATGCAGGCTGGTCTAGTGGGCATTAGTTTCATGGAAGTGTTGGCACCTGTAATCTACAGTCACCATTTCTTGCGGCTCTGCATTCTGGAATGTATCCTTTAGGCAGGACACACAGTCTACTTTCTCCAGTTGTTGCGTCGGGCAACACCACACTGACAAAGACATGGGAGTCGTGGAGCAGGCTACATAATGCAGGATGCTGTGAGAGCAAGATCCTGGCTGTTTTTATTGATAGAATAATCATAGAGCATCAGCTACGTGCGTTAGGAGGACAAGGGGAAAAGAATGGGTGAAACTCAGGAATGTTATCTAGGGGCTTGGGGGGACAGGAGGCTGCTGACCATGTTATCAGCTTGATGACCAAGTGTTGTCATCAAAACTGGACCCCAGACCCCCGGCCACGGTCCTAATCTCATCAATAAGGCATTCCACTGATCAGCTTCTGGGGTCCCTTGTCATACTTTGGTCCTCAGCCGCCCGGGTGTTCCTGGTCACACCTCATGATGTACGAGTCAGGAGTAAGTTTATGCATCTGTCCTCAGCCCCCGGGGCGTTCCCAGTCATACCTCTTGATGCACACCCTTCCCAGAGTGATCAAGCTTTCTGCTCTTGATGTGAAAGGCACCTTGTAAGGTTTGGCTCCTATGCCTGATTGACTGGTTCTGAAGGGCAGTTCTGACCTTGGATAGGAATGCAGAGCTGCAGGTAACCATAATAGCAGCCAAACAGGCTGCTTAAGTTTAGCAGACCCACATGTCCCCCTTTTTAATTTTATTTAAGGAGAGGAAAAATGATATTAGGGGGAATATCATTTCCAGTGAAGGCCAGCTTTGAGAGCCGGATGCACAGACATCTCAAGAGACCTGATACACCCCACCGTATTACTTGGGACCCCATGAGCCCACACCCATGTTGACAGCTCAGTCTGGAGCAAGAGCTCATCAATAGTTGTTTTATTAGGTTTGTTGCAAAAGGGCTATAAATCAGTGATCCAGACGGGAGATGTTTAGAACAGGTGAGAATGTCCGCACCCCTTCCAGGGGTGCCCCTCCCCACTACCACCTGCACATTATAGTGCATCCTGCTGTTGGGTTCTAAGGGCAGCTTCTTCACACAGGGAAGATTAACTTCATACTCAACCTCCAGCACCCCTCTTTCCTCCCTTTGCAAAGCTGTGTGTGTGGTGGGGAAGCAAAGTTTAACCCACTAATTGCAGGGCTTGCTTCCTTCATCCTTAGTATGTTTTTCACCCGTCTTTTTTCCCCCAAAGATTTGTTTATTCATACAAGAGCTGGGGTGCAGGCCAGAGGTGCAGGGGATGAGAGGATTCACCAGAGACAGAGTGGGGAGAAGTACAGGGGGATTTACTGAAATCCACTGCTGAGGGGAGCAGCAGGCAGACAGAGACAGGAGAGGTCCACTGCGCCATGTGGATCACCTCCTGGGCTGGGGATCGAACTTGTGCTGCAGAGGCTACAGACAGCTCAAGCCCGTTTTTCACAGGTCTTTATCCTTCTACAACCGACCTTCCAAACACTTTTGGCAAAGGTGAGCCTGGACCTTGAAGACTAAATGTATATGGTAAACACCCTGACTGACCAGTCATACAAGGTAGAACAGGTCTGGTTTTCCCAGTCTGTAAATCAGTGTTCCCCCAGGCAAAGAGATTGCCACTTAACTGAAGCTCCAGAGATTTCTACAGGTCTCCAGCCTCCACAACATCCCAGTTGCCAGTAGCTGTTAATCACCTTAGCAAAGGTTCACCCTTATAGGACTCCACACTTCCATGTTTGCTTCCTACACTCTCACAAGACCAAGTATGTCCCCTATCTCATAACGTGGCACCTCGAATTCCATGAGCCCACACTCCAGACACCACCAATCCCAGCTGGGCCTGTGTGCGCCCTGGGGCATGACTACTCCGGATAACAGCCATGGTGCTGATTGCCTCTGGTCCTTGGAACATTTCTATCTCCAGAACCCCTGAGGAACCTAGAGGACAGTCTACATGGCACCTGCTGGAGACTGAAAACATGATTTGCTCAGATGAGACACATTCCATTTTTTTTCAAAGATTTATTTGTGCATACAAGAACTGGGGTATAGGCCAGAGGTGCGGGGATGGGGGCGGGGAGAGGATTCACCAGAGACAGAGTGGGTAGAACAGGCAGATCCACTAAAGTCCACTGCTGAGGGGAGCAGAAGGGAGACAGGAAAGGTCTACTGTGCCATGTGGGTCAGCTCCCTGGCCACCAGGAATTGAACTCATGCTGCAGTGGCTGGTGACAGCTTGATCATGCTGCCTTTAATCCCTGCACCGCCAGGGAGGCCCCACATTCCATTTTTATTTGGACAGCAGAATAAAGATTTCGTGCACCTAACTGTTGAGATACAGAGCCTCCCTGCTAAGTCTCAGCAATATCAAGCTATCACCAGTCACTGTGGCCTGAGTTCCATGTCAGCCCAGATTCCCTGCAATGAAAAGTGAGCCGTTAGTGTCCCTCAAAGGGGGAGTACCACCTTCCCTGCATAAACAGAAAAGTCTTCCCCTTTGCAGGTTAGAGCATGGACAGGCTGTCTTGGTGCTGCCCCGGGTGATTCTTCCTTGAACTGAAGCTTTCTTCAACAAGACAAAACCCATCGGGGTCTCCCTGGTGGTGCAAGGGGTTAAGACACAACCTATGGGCCTCCCCGGTGGCGCAGAGGTTGAGCGCTGGGTTGCGAGGCTGCCCGCAGCCTCTGTGGCGCCGGTTCGATCCCCGGTTGCTCCCCGGCCACCGGAGGAGGGTCCCACATGGCGCGCAGACCTCTCCTGCCGCCCGCTGCTCCCCTCAGCAGTGTGCTTCGGTCCTTCTGCCTCTCTGCTCCCCGCTCTGGCTCTGGTGAATTCTCTCACCCTCCCGCTCTTCTGACTGTACCCAGTGCTTGTATAAAGAAAATAAATAAATAAATAAATAAATAAAACATGCCTCTATTAAAAAAAAAAAAAAGACACAACCTATGAAACTCTCCACAGCTGCTACAGCAGAGTTGGATCCCCAGCCAGGGAACTGACCCACATGGCGCAGCAGACCTCTCCTGACTAGCCCACTGCTCCCCTCAGCAGTGTATTTTGGTCAATCAGCCTGTTCTGTTCCCCACTCTGTCTCTGGTGAATCCTCATCCCCCAAACCTCTGGCCTGTACCCCAACTCTTGTATGCTTAACTAAATCTTAAAAAAAAAAAAGACAACAAAACCTGTCCTAAGCATCAGTCTGCATCAACATAATTAAAAGAATCCCCACACGCAGTAAGTGTACGAGGCCTCCAGGGGGCACTGGAGTTCCAAGGGCAGACTTCAAGGTCACTTTGTCCAGGGTACTCCAGCCCAAGGGCAATCCTGCCACTTCCCACCCATACAGAAAAGCAATGCATTCATCACCTGTTTGTGGCAGTGTCAGGCCAATTTCACATGAAACAGAGCGGACTGCAATTTACCTGGAGGGTTTATCTCAAATTGTGAAGTTCAAGCTTTGGAGGTGCTTTCCTTTCAGACACAAAAAGCACCCCCCAGCTTGAAAGCACAACTTGAGTTTAGTTCTAGAAAAGGACCATGTGAGGCCAATGCTTGCCTTGTTACACGTCTGCAGTGTGGTCTGTGAGGCCTCTGCTGACCACCCAGGAGCTCAACATCAACATGCACGTGGACACAAAGGTCACCCCACGATATCCCACTTTTACTAATGGGCAGAATTATAACAAGAAGTGTGGAAAACTATACCCAGACTTGAATATACAAAAAGTTGTCAACAGCATCACGATGCTCTGGAATTATCTTCATGTGCTGCCGGGAACTAGAAAATAAAACGAAAGCTCTAATAAGCAGAATCCCACATTCATGGGTCAGATTTCCTAGTATCCTGGCTCATATATGATGCAAATTATGCAAAAATATAAACACCACCATCCTTACTGCATCTGTACTTTGGAGACAGACAATTCCTATTCCACCCCCTTTCTACTTTCCTTCTAAGTACAGTGAATGTCACCTAGTTTCAGAGTATAAAATTCGGCAATGAAGAATTTAAAGGAAATGCTATTAGAATGTCCTTCTCAGGCCTCCCTGTGGTGCAGGGGTTAAGTCTCAGCGCTGTCAAGCTGTGGGCAGCCGCTGCAGCACCAGTTCGATCTCTGGCCAGGGAGCTGACCCTCAGGGTGCAGCAGACCTCACCTGTCTCCCTGCTGCTCCCCTCAGCAGTGTATTTCAGTGGATCCACCTGTTCTGCTCCCCACTCTGTCTCTGGTGACTCCTCTCACCCCCTGCACCTCTAGTCTACACCCCAGCTCTTGTATGCATAAATAAATAAAATAAGTCTTAAAAAAGTACTAACACAGCGTATTAAGAGTGGAAACTGAGTGTGATCTTAACGTGGTAGAAACAGGCATTGAGAAACTTCAGTCTGACTGCCTTCGAGGACTAGTACAACATCCACACTTACCTTTGTCCACAGCTGCAAGTCGCTTCCACACCATGGTCAGGAAATAACCATGTCCCATTTACTTTAGAACTTATATCCATGTAGATTTCCCAGAGATATGCAATTTAACATGTTTGGTGGAATTTTTAAAAAGATTTAGTCATGCATACAAGAACTGGGGTACAGGGCAGAGGTGCGAAGGGGGGAGGGACAGGTGGTAGTGAGAAGATTCACCAGAGACAGAGTGGGGAGCAGAACAGGCGGATCCACTGAAATACACTAAGGGGAGCAGCAGGTGAAGCAGGAGAGGTCTGCTGCGCCATGTGGGTCACCTCCCTGGCCAAGGATTGAACTCGAGATGCAGTGGTTGCGGATAGCTTTATAGGGCTGACACTTAACCCTTTGCGCCACCAGGGAGGCCCATGCTTGGTGGAATTTTTATCGACCAGCCCAAGAACCCAGAGAGGTGGGGAAGATCTCTACCCACTCCCATACCTTCTGAAACCCGGACCCAGCACTCCTCTGGAAGCAGATGCTCTCAACGTCCCAGAACATCCACAGCACCATCCCTGTGGCCTCTTGTGCTTGACCAGGTCTGTGAGAAAGGGCAGAATCCTCGTATCCTGCCAGTTCTGTCTCTCAAAGGAGTTACTGAGGAGCCAGCCGTAGGACAGGGGTAGGGGCCCAGGCTGGTCTACAGTCAAGGGCCATCGGCCATTTTTAAACTTTGATTTCTGGAAGGTTGTCGTGTGGACATTGACACAACATTGGAGATGGTGTTGAGGGGTGTCTACCACCCATTTCGCAGATGTATCCTCCCACCAAGGCAGAATTCCTAGCTAATACATAGCAGCCTTGCCTTCTGAGGTGCTGTGTTCAGTAAGTAAGAGTGTAAGACTTGATAAACTTTGAGATTAAAGTGAAGCTTCTTTGTTGAAAGGCTGCAAGAGTTAAGTGGGATTATCACTCTTACAACTCACCTGCTTCTATTTCCTGGTTTCAAAAGGTCACCTGGAAAGATAAAGTCCTCATCTCCATTGGACAGTGTGTTCAGCCATTTATTTTAGCCTCATCGCTGGTCATCCAGGGACTTTGAACAGGACAGTACAGCCTGGGGGACACAACAAAATTGCAGTTCTTACAAACAGCCTGGTGTGAGCCCTGAGCCTTTAGGGTCATTAAAGCTTCCACAGAACCCAGAGTACTTACCCAGAGGCCTTGTTCATTCCAGCACAACTAGACCCCTAGTCACTCCTTCTGGCTCCTGGGCACTCTTCCAGGCCAGCGATCCAAGATGAGTTTCCTCAGTCTGTGGTTCTCAACTGTGGCAGCACTTTCTCACCGGACACCAGAAAGTGCCCCCAAGGCTGAGAATCACAGAGCTGAGATCCACCTTCCTCAAAATCTGCAAATTTCTGCTACAAGTATAAAAACAGGATAAGAGTTTATGGGGAAGAAAGGGTCACTCCCAGGCCCCGCAGGGTTCTTGTAAGCTGGCAATTCATCAAATTTTCAAGCTATCACCAGCCACTGCAGCAGGAGTTCGATCCCTGGTCAGGGAGCTCACCCACATGGTGCAGTGGACCTCTCCTGTCTCCCTGCTGCTCCCCTCAGCAGTACATTTCAGTCGATCTGGTGAATCCTCTCACCCCCTGTACCTCTGGCCTGCACTGGTTCGATCCCCGGCCGCCAGCGAGTGTCCCACATGGTGGGACAGCAGTGCCCGCTGCTCCCTCAGCAGTGTATTTCGCCAGTCTGCCTGTTCTGGCTCTGGTGAATTCTCTCACCCTCCCGTGCTTCCGACTGTACCCAGTGCTTGTATAAATAAATAAATAAATATTTTAAAAAATATATGCAACCTATGAAGCTAACCACAGCCACTTCAAGTGCGAGTTCAATCCCTGGCCAAGGAGAAACCCACAAGGCACAGCAGACCTCTCCTGACTTGCCCACTGCTCCCCTCAGCAATGTATTTCAGTCAATCTGCTTGTTCTGTTCCCCACTGTGTCTCTGGTGAATCCTCTCACTCCCCACCCCCGCACCTCTGGCCTGTACCCCAGCTCTTGTATGCATAAAAATAAAATAAATCTTTAAAAAAAAAAACAGTAAAAAAATAAAGAGCAAGGGTATGGGTGGGCAGGGCTAGTTATAGATCACACCGGAAGGGCAGAGAAAACCTCACCTGGCAATTGCCAAGATTTCAGCAGGAATCAGGGATATACCTCCCTCCAGGGAGAGGCCCTTACAAATGGAGATTTTTCCTTATCCATGTAAAAGGCTTATTCAAGAACCTCCACCCAGGTTTCAGAACCCCTCCTAAAAATAATTCTTATGCCAAAGGAGACCTATATTGGGGGCGTCAATTTTTATCCCCCATACAAGCTGAGCACTGCCTTTTATCAGCTTTAGTAGATTGGGGGGATTTGTCTGCAATCTTAGGGATATCTTAGTTACCAGAAATCACCCTCATCACCCCCCCACCCCTGCCTTGATCCCTCTCCACACGTTAGCTCCCTTTAGTTAAGCCTTCACTGCTCCAGGAAACCCAACTCTTAGAAGGACGCCCTGCGACTTGAATGTGCACCGGCTTAGTATGGTTCTGGTTCAAGAAACAGTTCCTAAAAGTCAGGAAATGAATCTTTGCAGAAAACATTTTCCTGGATGATCAAAAGACAAAGTTTTCAAGGCTTGTCTCTTTGCCCTAAATTAGCTGTACAAAACCAAAACTTTTCAGAGCTCCTTCACCCTGGTGGTCTTTCAGAGATTTCTTGCTTGTCCAGGAGCTGTATAAACTGACCCAATCTTTTATTCGTAATGGCACATCCACGCACATATCGGTCTTCTCCTGTGAACCTGTCAACAAATACAGTTCTTTCCCAGTTATAGGGAACAGGAAGGGTAGAGGAAGCTGCTTCCCCAAAATACAATGTTTAAAATTAGACCTAGGGGGGGAAAAAAATCAGAGACAGATCTACCCACCCAAATATACTGATAAAAATCACATCAGGACGAACATCTCTCTTAAGGACTTAGGGAATTGGTTCTCATCAGAATGGAAGCAATGCATGATCTCCATAAATATACCGTTTTTTACAGAAAAGAATAGAAGCAAATCTCTTGGTACCATGGGGAAAAAAATCAGTTGACAATTAAAATCCACGTCACACAGGGTGGCGAACGCATCCTGTGAACTTGGAAGGTAAGTGACCTACTCATACCCAGACGCAGCCCAGCCTGGCTGCCCTCCCCACCTGGGGCCTCACCTCCAGCTGCAGCGCGGGGTGGCGTGTCCAGGAGCCTGAGGAGGCCTCATAGCCAAGGGTTGGCATCACCTTGAGAGGAGAAAGGCAGCCAGTGTTCTGCTGGGGTTGAAGGGCAGGGTGGAGAGGACCAGGGTGAGCGGGGAGGTCGTGGGGAGGTTAGAAGGAAGGGGACAACGTTCTTCGGACCCCAGAGGCAGCCAGAAAAGGTGTAGGTGGAAACAAAGCAAGAGCACTCACTGAGGCCAGGCCGCCTTCCCGCCTTCAGAAGACAAAGGCCCTCCTTGCCCTGGAGCGCCTTTATGAGGGAGGGCGCCTTTGCAGTTGAGCGGCCACGCCCACTTCTACCCTCTGGGACCATCCCCTCCGCTTGTCTGTCTCCCTGAATTTTTTTTTAAGATTTTATTTTTATTTATGCATATTGCAGGGGGTGAGGGTCCATCAGAGACAGAGTGGGGAGTAGAACAGGCGGATACACTGAAATCCACTGCTGAGGGGAGCAGCGGGGAGACAGGACAGATCTTCTGGGCTATGTGGGTCACCTCCCTGGCCGGGGATCGAACTCGTGCTGCAGAGGCTGGTGCTAGCTTGATAGCGCTGAGACTAACCCCTGCGCCACCTGGGAGGCCCCCCTCCCTGAATTTTAAGGTCATTCCTATGCTTCCCTGATTGGGACAACGCTCATCATTCCCCCTAACATTTTCCTGGTAATTTGTCACACAGGTATTTTCCGAGTCCTTAGGCAACTTCAAAAATGCAAGGGAGAAATTCGAGAAATGTCACCAGCCGTCACTGTTCTCTAATACAAATGCCTGTGTGGGGAGGAGTGGGCGGGAGGATGCTGGGGGTGTGGAGCGGGAGCTGGGAAAGCCGAGCTCCAGCCGGAGTTCCCAGCCTCACTGAGTTCAGGGCCCCAGGGGTATTTGGGGAGAGGGAAGGCTCTCGAGTTCGCCCAGTAACAGCAACATGCACATCTTTGCTTTGATTGATTCCTGCCAATGATAACATTACACTAAAGGTGAAAAGTTTTGTGCTTTTTATTTATTTGTTTGTTTATTTATTTATTTATTTATTTATTTATTTATTGTGGGACCCTCGCGGGCAGCCGGGGAATGAACCGGCGCTGCAGAGGCTCCCACCAGGGAAGGCCCACCCACTTTTGTGCTTTTTAAATATTACATGTCCTTGAAGGGGAAGAGACTACAACACCCCAAAACATGCCTCTTAGCAAATTGATCCTTTTGAGTTGTTTTTTTTTCCTTGACTTTTTCTCTTAAAATCTTTATTTTTTTCATGTTTTAAAATGTTTTTTTTTCTTCTTGAGTTGGTTATTGTTAAGAAACAAGTAAAAACTGACACTCAAGTAGAAGAGACCCTATCCTAAGAGATATTTACATTTGTAAGGGGGTCTCCCTCCAACACCCGGAGGAGGAGGATCTGGTCTCAGCACAAAAAATTCCAAGTGCAGAGGCCAGGCCCGACATCTGCATAACTGTATCTTGTTAACTGCATTCCCTGGTCACTTAACTGCTCTGTGCCTCCCCCGCCCCTCACCTCATCTTTTGTCTTTAGCCAAAGATGTTACTTGAGGTGGTGACTTGGGCCCTTCAAGGAGGTGCTCAGTTTTCCTGTGTCTTTCCCAAGCGTAAAAGGAGGGACAAACGTGCTTCCTTAAAATTGTTAGTCTTATAGGGGGGGGTGTGTGTGTGTGTGTGTTATTCAGCCAAGTATCTAAAAGGGTAGAGTGGGGGGATTATTATTATTCCTCTGCTCCAGGAGATTTGAGACCCGGTAGAAGGTGGGGAGACTGAAGACCAGGGCCTTCCTTGAGTTACTGGGACCATGTGCATGGGAAGGCAAGGTCCCATTGTTACTGGGCAGGGTGAGGGGTCCCCAGGAACCTCCAAACCTGCCTGCTCTAAATAGGTTGTGCCATCCACTGCATCTCCCCTTTCCCTGGGGACCAGGGAAATCTATAGGCCTTACAGGTGATTTCAGGGTCCCTCACCTGTCCCACTAGGATCTCCACACCCCTGCTCCCTCCAATCCTAATTTCTAGAGATGCCTGTCTGAGTGGATTTCTTAGTGTTTAAAACCTTTCATTCACCCCATAATCTCGTCTTTCTGAAATTTTCATGGATCAGCTTGGGCTAGAATCCAATTTGCAGTGAGCAGGGTATTTTATTTTAAATTCAAAACCACTCACTTAGCCTGGGGATGAATCAAAAGTGGAGGGAGACATTATTTTTTTTTAAGATTTATTTATGCATGTAAGAGCTGGGGTGTAGGTCAGAGGTGCGGGGGTAAGAAGATTCACCAGAGACAGAGTGGGGAGCAGAACAGGCGGATCTACTGAAATACACTGCTGAGGGGAGCAGCGGGGAGACTGGAGAGGTCTGCTGCGCCATGTGGATCACCTCCCTGGCCTGGGTTGAATTCGTGCTGCAATGGCTGCCGACAGCTTCATAGTGCTGAGACTTAACCCATTTTTAGTATCGAATATAATGTACTCTCCTGGTCACTGACTCAGATGCTTGGGGATCCCAGGTAGCAGCCTGGCCTGGCATCCCTCTGGAGAGTATGCCCTGACCTTTATGCCCAGACCCCAGAGGCTTCCCAGCGAGCCCCAGGGACCCACCCCCTTTTGGACTTTGAAACTGGGCCCCGTCCCAATCCTGTGTGGTTCCTCAAATGCAAGGAGCGGGGAGTTCCTTGAAGGCAGAGTTCTGGTTTGAACCAGCTCTGTCTCCCAGGCACCAGCCTGAACCAGATACACTTGAAAACTCACACCCATCAAGGACAGATGTCCTGCCACCCACCCCCGGGATGCAGGGCTTCCTTTGTGACGTGCAGGGGACTTTGTGTCAAACGTGATTGGCACAACTTCAGAGATTGCTGTTGGGTCAAAGAAAATCCCCCTATCTCTGGATGCCTTCAAATAGTCCCCAGAGCCAAAACTCCAGGCCATTTCATCCCTCCCTATTTGAGCTCCCAGGAAAACATTGGGACCCTGAAATACCTCCAGTGGATTCTAAGTG